TAACAGATACTGACTAATCTCATTTGAGAAAAGGAAGGCAGATCAACAAGATGTGGATGAATATGCGAAGGAAGTTCCACCTTAAACCTTGCAAGCTGATCGCAGATGAGTTGTTATAAGCTGTAGCCAACGTTACAATTTTTGGATTAGTAACTGCAACTTGGAAATACAATATTAAAGTTTTGAGATGCATCAAATTAATTTCAAAACAATATATTCTTAGAAAAAACCAACGGTGACAATACTAAAACCTACCTGCGCAAGTAGACTGCACATTAATAGCAGTGAGAATTTCTTGGCGGTTGTAACCAGCGTAGGTACATGTTGTGTGATTACAACCTGAGGATGAGGAGTTTCCAAGAGACAAATTTTCTGGACCATCACATTGGACAGCAGAACATGACGAGTTAATCAGGGATGATTCACATTGTAACCTGAGGAATAAGCCAAGAGACGGAAGTAAAGGAAAGAAGAAAATAATAAAAAAATCAGGTTCATTAGATATGCCGCTGCAAAGGGATTGGAAGGAGAAATAGTTCTATCTCATATACACTTACATCCAATTATTTGCAGCATCACAACTGCACCTTACGCAATTATTGGCAGTGAAGACATATGTGCCATTGGGGACAAGTAGAGGGTAGTCCAGTGAATTATTACTTATTACTGAAGAACAAGCTGTTGAAAAAGACAAAGCCATTGGAAAAAGAAACTTGACGTCATCAAAATGAAAGTTTAAAAACAAAAACAAAGAAGAGACGTGCATTTGAGACATCAATGGCACGGCTGTTTTCAGGATTCAAAAAGAAATGTATAAAATCAAAGAAGAGGTGTTCAAGACATCTGTGAGATGGATGTTTCCAGGAATTAAAAGAGTGAATTACCATCTAGCTTATATTGGGTCTGACGACGATCAATTACATAGCACCAGGCTAAACTTCTTACACGATTTAACAGGTGCGCCAACATCTAGTGCTGGACACTGTTACAGCCTCTTTAATATTAAAAAATGTATTTAGAAATAAGCATTTTCCTGACAGAGAATAATTGTATTGATACACTCTTTCTGGTCAAATAGAAGTTTCTGAATCATCATCAAAAGCTTTGTAATTTTGAAGTCCAATACAAGATAATTAGTTGTAGAATCATCAAACTAGACTCTAAAGTCCAGAGTTGTATGATCAGCAAAGATTAAAAAACAAACAGTGCGAGTTGCCGCTGTTAAAAGGCACAAGTTTTTCCAAGTCAACCAAATGATGCCACATTATCTTCTGGCTAATTCTTGTATAGCATATTTATATATACTGTTCAAGGTCCACAATTAATGGCCATTTGCATCGTATCAGCGGATAAATGTATACCTTAGAATGAATGAAATATAGCCCTTTTTCCAGTTCTCTTATAGCCCCTGTTTGTCATTCATTTTCTCCCATTCTTTCCCATTATTTTTCCTATAGTACTCATTTTTAACCAAACATTCTTTATTAAAATAATATTACACGTAAATTAAAACATTTTCCTTCTTTTTTTAACCACAAATTTCAACATCAATCACTTTTCCATAATACATTCTCCCCAAATAATAGGTGACAAACACACCCTATATTAGCACTTAGCAGCCACCAACTTATTAGTCAATTGAAAGCCAGCTGCCCTCACAATTCTCATTTTCTACGTACACTAAAGTTGAAACTTTCAAAAGTTTGCAGCACTTATATATATTTTTTCTTTTTTGCTTTTCCATATTCTTTATAGAGGCACCAAGGTCCTACAGAAGTAAAAGGCCAACCCGTTTGCACAATTTAATGGGTAGGGACCTTCTCTCCGATCTTCTAATAATTATTTTGTAGTTCAATAAGATAAGATTGCAGCTTCAAAACTAGGAAACCAAAACTAATAGGGGATAAAGTACATGTGACGAATTCAGTCAAATGTTCCCTGTAATTGTCGGTGCCATATGTCTCACGGTATTGCAAGATTATTCGTAACTCTTAACAAATTATGCGACTGTCTAATATAATTAATTATCCATCTAAACCAGAAAAAGAAAACGGTAAAAATAAAAGAGAATATACCTCTAAGTGGAACATCAAGAACAGCACCAGCATCGAGATCTTTGGGACTAGTCAAATTGTTGAGCCTCAAAAGTGTGTCCTGGGATGTGTTAAACTGCTGGGCAATTCCCCCCACGGAGCTCCCGGCCGGCACCACATATCCATAGTGCACTACCTTCTGACCGTCGACATCGTCGCAGCTGCAAGGCAGCGGAATCCACAGCTTCTGGCCCTCCAAAATCAAGTTGGGATTGCTTATATTATTTACTTCCTGAATTTGTGGGAAGGTAACGAGGCCGGCAAACACTTCGGCGGCGATGTGGTAGAGGCCGTCGTCGGGAATCACCGTGTAATATGGGCGCCTGTTGGATATTCCGGTGTTTTTTCTGCATATGCAAGGGAAAGGAATCTTGATCGTCTGCTTGGCGGCAACGGTAGTATTTGCCGGGGTGTCGAGGGGGAGGTTGTTGGCGCCAAGAATTGAGCGAAGGTTCTTGACTTGGAAAAGGGTCTTGATGGCGTAAAGAGTGGTCTGGTTGGGAGAGACATAGTCTACTAAACCGTCGCATTTGGCGCCTGGGGAGGTGCACCGAAATGGCTGAGCAAAGGTAAAGGTCGAGGAAATGGCTATCAACAGTAGAGTAGAAATTAGGCTTCTGAAGATGGCCATTTTGAGTGCTAATGGAATTAGACAAAAGTTGAGAACAGTTTCAGTGCAATAAGAAAGGAGTCGTGGGAAGTTATGGTGGATTGAAGACCCTTTTTTA